GACGTTAGCTGACCAATCAAAATTGGCCACGCGTGAAATAAACTCGCCTTCAAGTTAAACAGCAAAGAAATATAAAAAGAAGTTAAAATACAAAAATGCAAGAAAATTAAAATACAGAAAAACAAACCGCAAATAATTTAGTCCTAGATGCACATAAGTGTATAAAAAACAATACTTTTAGTTAAAAATACTGATTTAACCCTTAACAAACACAAATACCGTATTTGTACGTGTATAAGACGCAGATAGTTTTCTACATCAGAGGTCGGCAATCTACGACACGCGTGCCACAGATGGCACGCCAAACATTTCTCAATGGACACAGGCGCAAATTCATTCATTCATTCATTCTTTCTTTCTTTCTTTCTTTCTTTCTTCACAACTTCTTTTATCGTCTCTGGAGTTCTGTCTTTCTATCTTTGTGTCTTCCATCACAACTTTATTCTTTTTCTCTCAAGTTCTTTCTTTCTTTTAAGTTTTAACATTTTTTTTTAAACATTTCTTTTTTTTTTCTTTCTTTCTTTTTTCTTTCATTTCTTTCTTCTTTCTTTTTTTTTCTTTTTTTTTTTTCTTTCTTTTTTCTTTCTTTCTTTCTTTTTTTTTTTCTCTTTCTTTCTTTCTTTCTTTTCTTTCTTTCTTTTTTCTTTCTTTCTTTCTTTTTTTTTTTCTTTCTTTCTTTTTTTCTTTCTTTCTTTTTTCATTTCATTTCTTTCTTTTCTTTCTTTCTTTGTTCTTTCATCGTTTCTTTTTTTCTTTCTTTCTTTCTTTCTTTCTTTCTTTTCCTTTTTTTTTTTCTCTTTCTTTCTTTTCTTTCTTTCTTTCTTTTTTCTTTTTATAACTTTTTTTTTTTTTTTCTTTCTATTCTTTTCTTTCTTTTTTCTTTCTTTATAACTTTCTTTCTTTTTTCTTTCTTTCGTGTTCATTCTTTCTTTCTTTTTATTCTTTTCTCTTTCTTTCTTTTTTTTCTTTTTTCTTTCTTTCTTTCTTTCTTTTTTCTTTCTTTCTTTTTCGTCTTTTATTTCTTTTTTTCTTTCTTTCTTTTTTTTTTTTTTTTAATTTTTTCTTTTTTCTTTCTTTTTTTTCTTTCTTTTTCTTTCTTTCTTTCTTTTTTTCAATTTTTTTTTTATTTCTTTTCTTTCTTTCTTTCTTTTTTCTTCCATCTTTTTTATTCTTTTTTTCTTTCTTTTTTTTTCTTTTTTTCTTTTTTCTTTCTTTTTTTCTTTTCTTTCTTTTTTTTTCTTTTTTTTTTTTTTTTTTTTTTTCTTTCTTTTTTCTTTCTTTAGTTTCTTTTTTTTTCTTTCTTTCATCTTTTTTCTTTTTTCTTTCATTTATTTTTCTTTCTTTCTCTTACTTTCTTTCTTTTTTTCTTTCTTTCTTTTTCTTTTCTTTTCTTTTTTTCTTTCTCTTTCTTTCTTTTTTCTTTCATTCTTTTTTTCATTTTCTTTCTTTTATCTTTCTTTTAAATTTTTTCTTTCTTTCTTTCTTTCTTTCTTTCTTTTTTTTTTTCTTTTTTCTTTCTTTTAACTTTTTTCTTTCTTTTCTTTTTTTCATTTTAATTTTATTTTATTTTGTTTTCTTTTTTCTTTTATCTTTCTTTTTTCTTTTATCTTTCTTTCTTTCTTTCTTTCTTTCTTTCTTTTCTTTCTTTCTTTAATTAAGAGTTTCGTCTCTTTCTTTCTTTCTTTCTTTCTTTCTTTCTTTCTTTTCTTCACATCTTTTTTTTTTCTTTTATTCTTTCTTTCTTTCTTTTTTTTTTTCTTTTCTTTCATTTTAACCTTCTTTTCTATTTTTTCTTTTTTTTCTTTTCTTTCTTTCATTTCATGATTTTGTTCTTTTTTTTTTTCTTTCTTTCTTTCTTTCTTTTTTTCTTTCTTTTTTTTTTTTTTTTCTTTTTTTTTTTTTTTTTTTTTTTTCTTTTCTTTCTTTCTTTCTTTCTTTCTTTTTCTTTATTTCTTTCTTTTTTTTTTCTTTCTTTCTTTCTTTCTTTCTTTCTTTCTTTTTTTTCTTTCTTTTTTTTTTTCAATTCTTTTAAGGTCTTTTTTCTTTCTTTCTATTTTGTTTTCTTCCAAAAACCCATTTTTTTTCTTTTTTTTTTTTTTCTTTCTTTCTTTTTATTTTTTTTATTTTTTTTTTTTCTTTCATTTTTCTTTCTTTCTTTCTTTTTTTAAAATTCATCTTTTTTCATTTATTTTTTTCTTTTTTTTTTTTTTTTTCTTTTTTATTTCTTTCTTTAAATGAGATTTCTTCCTTTTGCTTTTTCTTTCTTTCTTTTCTTTTTTTTAAAATTTTTTCATTTTTGTCTTTTTTTTTTTTCAAGTTTTTTTCTTTCTTTCTTTTTTTCTTTTTTTTGGCAGGAATTTTCTTCTTTCTTTCATTTTTTTCTTTTTTCTTGTTTTTTTTGAAAGAATCAAAGACCTTTTAAATATTTTAAAAAAAAAAATTTCTTTTCTTTTTTTTTTTTTTCTTTTCAATCTTTTTCTATTTTTGTTTTTTTCTTTTTTTCTTTTTCTTTTCTTTCAAATTATTGGTTTTCATCAAATAATCTTTTTTTTAATTTATCAGTTCTTTTCTTTCACTTTTTTTTTTCTTTTATTGGGTCTAATTTTTTTCTTTGCAATTTTTTTTTTGAAAAATCTTTTTCCTTTCATCTTTCTTTTACAATGTTTTTTTTTATTTTATTTATTTTATTCATTTAAATCTTTCAATCTTTTTTCTTTCTTTCTCGTTTTTCTTTTATCGTCTCTTTATTCTTTTTTTTTTATTTTTTTTTTTTTCATTTCTTTCTTTTCCTTTTAATTTTTTCTTTCTTTTTTTTCCAAAAATCAACTTTTCATATTTTTATTAAAACTCTTTCTTCTTTTTTCTTTATTTTGATTATTCAATTCATTTTCAACAAATTATTTAATTTTATTTCTTTCTTTTTTTTCTTTTTTTTTTTTTTTTTTTTTTTTTCTTTTTTTCTTTTTTTTTTTTTTTCTTTCTTTCTTTCTTTTTTTTTCGACTGAATTTTTTTATTTTTTTTCATCAATTTAAAAATTTCATTCTTTTCTTTTTTTTTTTTTTTCTTTCTTTCTTTTTTTTCATTTTTTCTTTCTTTTTTCTTTTTTTCATATAAAATTATCATCTCTGGAATATATCTATTTTATTTTTTTTTCTTTTATTTAAAAAAAATTTTTTTTTTTTTAAGTTCTTTCTTTCTTTTATTTTTTCTTATTTTTTCTTTTTTTATTTTCTTTTTTTCTTTAAAAATTTTTTTTTTTTCTTTCAAAAAATTCAAGTTTCTTTTTTCTTTTTTTTTCTTTCAAAGGTTTCATTTTTTACTTTTTTCTATTTATCTTTCTATAAAATTTTCTCTCTGTTAAAAGGAAATCAGGTTTTCTTTTCTTTCTTCACAGCTTTTCTTTTTTCATTTTTCTTTTATTTCTTTTCTTTTTTCATTTTTTTTTTCTTTCTTTTTTCTTTCTTTCTTTCTTTCTTTCTTTCTTTTTTTTTGCTTTTTTTATTCAAGGCTTTTATTTTTTTTTTTTTTTTCTATTAAACTTTCTTTAAATTTTTTTCTTTCAATTCTTTTATTATATATAGATTATTTCTTTAATTTAGATCTATTTCCTTCTTTCTTTCTATTTTATATTTTATCTTTTTTTCTTTTTTTTTTTTCTTTTCTTTCTTTCTTTCTTTCTATTTTTTTTTTTTTTTTCTATTCTTTTTTCTTTTTTTTTCTTTTAATTTTTTTAGCTTTTTTCTCTTTTTATTTTTAAATTTTTTTATTTCTTTTTTAAATCTTTTCAATCTTTCCTTTGATTTTTCTTTTCTTTTTTTTTTTTTTCTTTTTCTTTTTTTTTTTTTTTGAATCTTTCTTTTTGGAATAAAAATCATTTTTTTTTTTTTTAATCATTTTTTTTTTTTCTTTCTTTTCTTTTATTTTTTCATATTTTTTTTATTTTTTTTTTTTTAAATTTTTTAGGATCATTCTTTTTTTTTTTCTTTCTTTAGCTAAATTTTATTCAAAAACAAAAAATCCTATCGTCTCTGAGTTCTGTCTTTCTATCTTTTTGTCTTCCATCCAAAAAATTTTTTTTTTTTCATTTTTAAATTCTTTCTTTCATTTTTTCTTTCTTTCTTTTTTTCTATGTTTTTCATAAATTTTTTTTTAAAAAATTTTTTTCATATAAATTCTTTTTTTATATCATTAAATTTTTCTTTTAAGTTCTCCTTTCTTTTTTTTTTTTTAAAAATTTTTTTAATATTTTTAAAAAATTTTTTTCTTTTTGGATTTCTTTTTTTATGTCTCTCAATGAATAATTTTCTTTCTATCTTTTTTTCTTCCAAAATTAATTTAACTTTATTTTTTTTCTCAAATTAATTCTTTTTTTCTTTCTTTCTTTCTTTTAATAATTTTTTTTTTTTTTTGAAAAAATTTTTTTCTTTTTTATTTATATTCTAATATTCTTTATTCATATATTTTCTTTTCTTTTTTTTTTTCTTTTTTTCTTTTGTTTTAAATTTTTATTTCTTTCTTTCAATTAAATAAATTCTTTTATCGTCTTAACCATTCTGTGTTTCTATTTTTATGGACAAAATCTGTTAATTCTTTTCTCTCAAGAAAAGAAACTCTTTCTTTCTTTCTTTTTTTTTTCTTCAAAATAAATTTTCTTCTTTCTTTTCTTTGATTTTTTTTTATTGCCTCAATTTTTATTTTTATTTTTTTTCTTTTTTATTCTTTCTTTTTTAACATTGAATTTTTTTTAATTTTTTAAATTCTTTTTTAAATTTTATCTTTATTTTCTTTTTTCTTTCTTTCTTTCTTTTATTGAAATATCGTTTTAGATAACTCTTTGTCAATCTTTGTTTCTTCCATCACAATATTTATTTTTTTTCTAAAAAAACAATTTTTTATTTCATTTTTTTTTCTTTCTTTCTTTTTTTCTTTCAAAAAATCTTTTCATTTTTCGTCTCTGAATTTAGTTTATTCTTTCTTTTCTTTCTTTTTGAAATGTTGATTCTTTTTGAATTTCTTTAAATTTTTTTTTTTTTTCAACTTTTTAATTTCATTTTTTTTTTCTTTTTTTTAAATTTCATTGTAACTGATAGTTCTGTCTTTAATTTTTGTGATTATTTAATTAATTGAAATTTATTCAAAGATCTCATTTTCTTTTTTAAATATAAATTTTCTTTCTTTAAAAATTTTTTATTTTTTTTCGTCTTAAAGATTTCAAAAAATTCCAATTTTCTTTTCTTTTTTCACAAATTTGTTCTTAAAATTGAAATAACCTTTTGTTTTCTTTGATTCTTTCTTTACAACTAATTCATTTTAGAAAGTTCTTTCTTTTTTTTTTCAAAAAAATGTCAATAATGAAGTATTTTTGGAAAAATATTAAATAAAAAATTTCCTTTATATCAAAAGTTTTTCCTCTCTGTGATCCTTGTTTCTTTGATTCAATTTTTTATTTATATCTATTTTTTATTGTATAGTCTTTCTTTCTATTCTTCTTGTATCATTTTTTAAAATATTTCCTAATCTTTTCATTCTCTTAACATTTTTTTTTTCTTTTCATGTGCCGTGTCCTTTCAGGACGTAGGCGATCATGGCTCTCCACCTCCTATTCCTGGCAGCTCTCAACAAGTTCCTTCCCTCTGCTTCCTCCCCCAGACCACGTCCTGTCATCCACTTGCTTAAGCCCACCAGGTATGTCACGCGTTGTTTCCCTTGTCTCTTTTTCCCTCTATTCAACACGTGAGTATCAGATTCTCCATACTCTCGTTCCACATTATGTGTCCCAGAAAGTTCAGCTATGTCTTCTTGATGTAAAGTATAAGCCTCTCCCTTGTTTGCAACCCCTCTAAAATCTCATCGTTGCTCACACGCTCGGTCCATGATATCCTTAGCATCCTTCTGTAGAACCACATCTCTGTCGCCTCGAGTCTCTTCTTCATCTTTGAGGAAATCGTCCAACATTAAAATCTTAAAAAAAACTTTTTAAAACAGTTTATTTCTAGTAATGTGGTTTACATATTATTGTATATATTACTATATAAAATATATTGTAGAACAGATATGTTGACATTATAGTATCCAGATCCTGTACTATTCACAAAACTTCAAATATTGAACAAAACATAGACTCCAAATTAAATTGCACAACTAACGAAATTTGATTGGTTCAAAAAAGTTACATGACACATCGTTGACTACGTCCGCACGTCTGACCTTATTTTGACCTAATCAAGAATACAGTTGATCCCAAATTTTAAAACATTTTCTGGAGTCTATCAATTTAATTGGAAAAAAACAACCTGTTTGTTGTTTACAAAAAATATAAATTACGTGATAGGGCTCAGAAAATATTTTAAAAATCAATGGAGGAAATCAGCCGAAAAAGCTACACTGAAGTCCAGACTATAAGTTAAAAATCCTTTTTAACATAACAACAGTCTATTTCCTTCATCCAATGCAAACTAAACTCTCGTCGGCAAACAACAAAGCGGCATTCAAACGTTAAACACAACGTAAATCACAGCTACACATGCTTTTCCCACAAAGTTTGAACTGTTTATTTTGAATACAAACAATATAACATTGAACAGAATTTTCCAAATTCACAGAAATTACCAGTCTATCGAACTGGAACATTACCTCACACAAAATCTATAAAGACAAGTTTATTTCACTATTTTAAGCAACATTCATTACTATTGTTTAGTACATTTGTTATATAAAATTTTTTGTTTACGCCATTTATCTTTAAATTTCTTGTTTTTTTCTTCTTCTTGTTATTTTTTTTTTGTGGCATTGGGTCTAAATAAATTAGTGGATCAATTGAATTCCCATAATTCTATAAAAATACGTATAAAAACAAAATGAAACTGAATGATTTTAAAAAGAAGATTCAGCACATAGTTAGCAAATGGTTGCCGACCCCTGTTCTAGAATATTTACGGAATCCGTAAGTTCATTCGTTTCTCTAGTTCTTTCTTTTTTTCTTTTCTTTCTTTCTTTTTCTTTCTTTCTTTTTTTTTTCTTTCATATGTTCCTTCTTTTTTATTTTTTCATCATCTTTGTTTTTTTTTTCTTATGCTTCGTCCTTCTTCATCTTTTAACTCTTTGGAAAAAACGATTTATTGCTTCCTTCCTCATTACTTCTTCTTCTTCTTCTTCTTCTTCGATTCCTTCTTTTTCTTTTGACACTCATCTTTTTTCTTCTTCATTATGCTCTCGTCCTTCTTCATCTTCTACTCTTTCCTCTTCTCTTTTTCATTATTGCTTCCTTCCTCATACCTTCTTCTTCTTCTTCTTCTTCTTCTTCGATTCCTTCTTTTTCTTTTGACACTCATCTTTTTTCTTCTTCATTATGCTCTCGTCCTTCTCCATCTTCTAAAAAAATATCTTCTCTTTTTCATTGTGCTTCCTTCCATACCTTCTTCTTCTTCTTCTTCTTCTTCGATTCCTTCTTTTTCTTTTGAAAAATATCTTTTTCTTCTTCATTAAAAAATCGTCCTTCTTCATCTTCTTTTTCCTCCTTTCTCTTTTCTTTTGCTTTTTTCCTCCTTATTCTTCATTTCTTAATCTTGTCCTCGTTTCCTTTTCTTTATTATTTCATTCATTTCAAAATCGCCACTAGCTAGCAGCATTCGGAATGCTTCTATTCACTCAACCTTTTCTGTCTTTGGTGGTCTCCTTCCATTATTCTAAACAGACAATCGCCGCTGGACCCGAGATGTCCTTGTCGTCTGTCGCTTGACCATTAATGAGTTCAGAAAGAAAAGATGCAGCTTTTAAGATATGAAACTCTCTTTTGGTTTGCTCCAGTGGCTAATGTTTCTCTCACAGTCGATAACCTTGTTCCAGATTTGTTGTTAAAGAGACAGGCGTTTAATGTTCAAACCTGGTCAAAAGTGCCTTTTAGTACAGTCAATGATCATCGATGACTTTTTGGTTAATTACTCACATTGAAGAAGAAAAAAGAAATATGAAGAAAGAGGAAGACGAGAAGAAACAAAAACGAACCAGTAATTGAGTATGTTTTTGTGAAATCTTTTCAACGAAGAAAGAAGATGAAGAAGAATAATTTTCATTAGAAAAATTATTTTTTAAAGCAAATGGCTGAAGAAGAAGAAGAAAGAAGAAAATAGAAGAAGAAGAAGGTAGTGGTGCTAAAAAAGAGGTAGAAGGAATAAAAATTATCCTGAAGAAGAAGAAGGAAAGAAAAATATGAAAAAAGTTAAATAAGTTAAATATGTGAAGGAAAGAAAAATAGGAGGATTTTCGAATAACAGAAGGTCAACTGGAAGAAGAAGAAGAAGAAGAACAAAAGAAGAAGAAGAAGAAGAAGAAGAAGAATTAGAAATTTGGTAGAAAAGAAAAGGACGGAAAAAATAAAAAAGCTATCTATCTATCTATGTATCTCAGTCTGTTCCTATCTATCTAGCTAGATTTTTGGTTTCATCTGACTTTTCTGAAGATGAAGCGTGGCAGAAGAAGACTGGAAAGTGAAGATTATGTACCTCCAGCCTAGATATGGCAGCAATATTCCATTTTTAGTCTAATCTGACTTTTCTGAAGATGAGTCGTGGTAGACGGGCCGGAAAGTGAAGATTGTTTAGCTCCAGCCCAGATATGGCTGCATTGCTCCATTTTTGTTTTGATCTGTCTTTTGAAACGATAGAGCATAGAGATTGATTCTTTTGTCAAATCTTTTTGGTTTATTTAAACCTGAAACATATTTCAGATTTTAGGAGATAGATTACAGTACTTAGTGTTCCCAAGTGGTCCTCCAACTACGTTGAGTTCTATTTGGGATCTCGAGTGACGAGTCGCACTCGAGATCTCAGGTGATGAGTTGCACTTGAGATCTAGAGTGACGAGTTCTACTTCATATCTCGATTGACGAGTTCCACTTAAGATTTCGAAACGAATTCCACTTGAGATCTCCAGTGTCGAATTCCACTTGAAATCTCGAGTGACGAGTCCCACTTAAGATCTCGAGTGATGTGTTCCACTTGAGATCTTCAGTGACGAGTTCCACTTGAGATCTCGAGTGACGAATTCTTCTTGAGAATTCGTGTGACGAGTTCAACTTAAGATTTCCAGTTTTTCTTAACTTAATTTTCTTGTCCTTCTTAAAGATGAACTTTTCTCAGTGATATGTTCCAATTGATCTCGGTGACAGTTCCAAAATTTTCTCTTTTGACAGAGTCCATAAGATTTCGAATACAAGTTCAACTTGAGATCTCGAGTGATTAGTCCAAATTGAGATTTCGAGTGACGAATTCCGCTTGAGATCTCGAGTGATGAGGTCTATTTAAGATTCCGAGTGTCGAGCTCAACTTGAGATCTCGAGTGACGTGTTCCACTTGAGATCTCGGGTGATGAGTTCCACTCGAGATTAGGTCTCCTTGCTTTGAACGTCCCAGTAGACGTTGTAAGCGGGGAGCCTCATTGGGAATGGAACCGTTCATTATGACATGTTTTTATATATATATTTATTTGTACATATATTATTTATATAACAGTCGAGCTTTAGGTTTACAGAACAATCAAGCAGAGTTTATGCGGATATCTAGGGATGATAACGGTTGGTCCTTGCCCTGAACAGGATTGAGGGTCGGAAAAAAAACGTTTTGGGAGTCGGTTCCACAGGGCAGTAGTTCGCGGGAAGAAGCTGCTTGAGCAGAACTTACACCTCACTAATAGAATAAACATGGTTCACTACAATGTTCGTGTCATGTCGGGTCTTAGCCGTGAAGGTTAGGCCTGGTGGAACTAAAGAATGGAGTTCTTCTGAACACTTTCTATGGAAATAGCGATAGAGAAGTGAGAGACTTGCCATGTTTCATCTGTGGGAAAAGGGATTGTAGTGGGGAAGAGGTAGATAGTTACAGAATAAGAGACACAGTTTATGGAGATATGTGGGGGAAAACAATGGTTAACTCTAGTCATGAACAGGTTAAGATTGTAATGATTGGGAAAGCATCCTCTTGGGAGTCAATTCCGCAAAGCAGC